TCTCAGAGGTTCAGTTTGATATTCAATTGCGGGTTAGAGATGTTATCCCAGATTATGTTAAGCGTTTAACGGTTGGAATACCTATAATGTATTACGGCGTGCTAATGTAGACCGGTTATAGTTCTGCATTTTTTCCATTATAATTTTTCATTTGACGTGATGCATGAAGTTTAAACTATGAGCTGCTCGTAACTGTGTGTAGAACTTAGTTATTGTTTAAATGTGTGTAGAATTTTTTTACTATTTTGTCACACGCTAAATTTATCTTTATTGATAATTCCACATGTTACAATAAGCAAACGGTATTAAATACCTGCCGTATAAAATTGCAGGACACCCGGCTACCTCCAACTGCCGTAACTGTGGCAGTAACGTAACGGTAACTGTGGCAGTAACGTAACGGTTAGGTGCGTTACTAAGCCCGTGACAGTGTGACGCCTCACCGTAACCATTAGTTCAGCTTTATTTGTAATGACAGTTTACAATATTATAATTTTATATTATAACAGCATCCCACTCGGACTTCATACCGTGAAATTTGTCCATGCTACACGCAATCCACACGACATGTGCACGTTATGACTCGTGGTAATAACGCTTCTCAAATACTCAAAACAACGCTTCCTGTTTTAATTCTTAAAGCTTAAATTATTGTTCTCCAGGCTCATTGTTGAAATTTTACTTAATATTTAACACAAGAAATTGGTGACCGTCAGCTGAAGTTTTTTGTGAGCGTCAAGCGTCAAAAGTAAGGCGTCGCGACCTTTGATTCATAAGAGACAATGGAAAAAGAGCTTCCTGCCAGCTTTAGGACGTTTATATTGCGAACAATATTTATATATTAAACAATATTTATTTATTAAACAATATTTATATATTAAACAATATTTATATTGCGAACAATATTTATATGTTGTTCAAAGTATAAACATATATTGAATTTATATATGAGGATTCCGTTTTACTGGAATGCTGACGAAGCTAATTTTTCATTGTTTCCGCGTATTTTATTTGCATACTTCTTTTTACTGTTATTTCGTTATCCTTATGTTGAAAACTAGAGAGAAAAAATCATCTTTGATAGGCTAGGAATTTTAATTTGTGCGTTTAATGGATATTCTTTCCCTTGAATTTGAATTTTGAAGTTTGTGTGAAGTTGAATATACAATACAATAATTATATTTATCGCGTTGATAATTATATATCCGACGAAACGAGATAAACGGCGTCGAAATAATTACCTATATCGCGTTAATCTCGTTTCGTTCTTTTTCAACGGACGAAACGAGATAAACGGCGCCGTTTTTTCACTGACTGCGACTCGTGCTGTTGTCTCTGTATTGTGAAGTATTAAATTCTTTGTCACTGAAACTGCTTCTAATGACAATAAATTGGCACTTGCACTTTACGAAAATTGCCAACGCATTCGCCAAGTGGAAGCAGAGAGCATGGAAAGGTTGTGATTAAAAGGCTGGTGAACGTGACCGATTCTACATCAACTCTGTTGATGTTGAATGCGTAGGTGTTATGCTTTATAGTTTGCGAATGAAATGAAATTTGAACACAAATATTGGATAATGTTAATTAAACGTGTTGTAATTTCTAATATTTGTGTTTATTTAAAAGCTAACCAAGTATCTTGAAACTAAATTTTAAGTTATTTTGTTTTATCGTCGGTACCTACAACCCTTTCATTTTAATATTATTTTTCTCGTGTAAGTAAGAAGCTATTTATGCTGGAAAATTTGAGCACCTACCTTAATTCTAATGGTCATTATTTTCTAGCGCGAAAGAAGGTCATTGAAGTCTGCGGGTGCAATAAAACCATAGTTAGAAACTCCCAATCCACGTACAAGTGCAGATCATTCTCATGATGCAGAATGTTGTTAGGCAAGAGTCTTGGCGATCACATCGTTAGCGTAAACGAACAACGTACCCACCTCTATGAAATGGTTGATGTTTTTAGTGTCGCCAGCTCTTACTTTGCTTGGTACGTGCTTGTGATGTTTTTAGTGTAGCCAGCTCTTCCCTTGTTTGGTACGTGCTTGGGGAATTTCCTCCCGACCTTTCCCTCCGCCCTTCAATTTTCTTAAGAGTCGAAGAGGTGCACGTTTGCGGTTGCCGCCCGGCATCCCTCTGTCCTAAGGGGCTCAGCCTTCCTTGACATGCCTTGGAGACTTTAACCCCCTCTCTCTTTTCTATTTAAGTGACATTATCTTAGAAGAATCACTGATGTCAATGAATAAAACTAGTCTTTGGTTATGTAAACAGTCACGAAAAAGACGTGACAAAAATAATGACGCGATAATATATTTTTCACTTTAAAATCCAAAGGTGGAATGGTGGAATGAATTCAATGAATAAGGTGGAATTTTTTCATTCTTTGTCAATTTGATACGCATGAAAAAATTTATGCTGCCTTTTTTAGTTTCCCACGATCGGCTTGAAGATTGGAATCGCGATCCCATTTTTGTACTCCCCTGACTATCTCAGATGCACAACTCATCGTGTGCAAGTAAGCTGCCTTGTTCGAGTCACAAGACTCAACTTAAGAGTGCCAGGTGGTGGAAGCCTGGAATGCCGGTGATATGACGGGTTTAACGTGTTTCAGAAGTCGCAGGTTTGAATCTCTCCCATTTCTCCATTTGAAAAATTGAGGAAAGCCGCGTTTCAAAGCGAACATTCTTGCGGCTTGTGAAATCCATCGTATATGGACGAAAGGCCCGTTTATGTCTACATGAAAGCTTGTTTAATGTCGCACTCACTTTCTCATAAAATGCTGGCTATTTTATGATAGGAAACTCACTCTCTCTTGGTCATGCGGACCGGATGCCATAGTCGTTTGTCTAAGGTATTTCGCGATATATAGAACGCGGCTTCGTCATCATTGCCTAGTACTTCGGGGAACGAATTCTTGGCATCAACCTATGTAAACGCTGTAGAGGTCTGCTAATGCTTCTACTCGAATCAACGTTCAACAAAAATGCCAATAGAGTTATGATCTATGGACTACCGTTATAACAACCAACATTCAAATGCACTAAACTGTTGAACGGTATTAAAGCCTCAAATCCTAAGACTCTTATTAAAGATGTTCAGTATTTACATTCCTGTCAAACTGATGGGTCATTCGTGTCGCGTGACCATCGCTCTGCCATGTACCGTTGTCTGCCAAGTGACTCGTGCTAGCAGCTGTCGTGTAGATCTGTTGCTCTTGTGTGGACCAAGTCGTAGATTATTGCTCTCGTGCATGACCGTGGAGTAAGCTTGAGGTTGAAACACACCAGGCTATTGACGTTGAAACGTTTAATTAACGTTGATTCAACGAAATAATGTTAAATTTATCTTTAATTCCGATCGTGGAGTAAGCTTGAGGTTGGAACAAACCAGGCTATTGATGTTGAAACGTTTAATTAAGGTTGATTCAACGAAATAATGTTAAATTTATCTTTAATTCCGATCGTGGAGTAAGCTTGTGGTTGAAACACACCAGGCTATTGACGTTGAAACGTTTAATTAACGTTGATTCAACGAAATAATGTTTAATTTATCTTTAATTCCGTTCTCTGGTATAGGAGGGTTTAGTTTGTATGACCTCATAAATAATACCACATGTTTGCATTATAATACATGTATATGTCGTACCGAAATTGCCGCTTCTATGAAATCGGCAGCCAGTTTGCCGAATCTGTATAGAATCAGCATTTCGTTTCTGATTCATAAAATCGGACGTTAGAGTTAGAGTTAGAACATAAATCGACAGTTTGAATTTGAAAATATTAGGTCAAGTTCGGTTAAGTTCCTTCATATTTAAATATTTAAAGAAAAAGAACTTGGCTGACTGTCCTCCTAACCCCAGATTCCTATAGTGTAGAAATGCTGATTCTACAGATTCGGCTATAGAATTGTCAATTCCGCGATTTCGACACGACATATATAAAGTCTCACTGTAGACGGCTGACAAAATGTTGCTCTGTAATTTATACTTCTTAATCTTTAAGTATATCGCTCTCTGCCAATTGAGTTGTGATCGTTAACATGTAATATCACATTCTCAGCAGAAGTTATTTTGGTGTTCACGAATGTTTCAGAAACTCTTTTCGTTGAATTTGTGAGAAACTTTGTCTCTATTTTGTTTTGTTTGTTAAAGTTAGCTTTGATTTTGTTTTTTACAACTAACTTGATTACCTTGATAAGCTATAAAGCTAACACCTTTTAATGAACTCCCTATTTCTGTCGTACCTAAGAGAAAAAATTCAGGCGTTCCATGCTTCTTTACTGTGTGTGACCATGCACTATAGCTAGTGTAGTGTCCCTGCATTTCTTTGCTAGACAAACAAGAACCTGTTAAACGTCTACACACTTCTCTGCGTTTATTTTAAAACGTTTTAGTATACGAGTTTATTTCTGGTTGTTGTGCTGCGAGTTGCGAAGTTCAAGTGTGGTAGTTTAGCACGTATATAACGCACGCTTGCGTGCTCATTTGACTTCTTTTAGAGTGCGAGTGCATTTTGGTGTGTCAAGCAAATACGCATCAGTGCCTGTATTCCTAATGCAATGGTGTTTCCATTCGTTAATGCAATGGTGTTCCATTCGTACACAGGTCCATGTATGCGGCCTTGCATTATGTCCCTCGTTTTGCACGCTGAACTTGGACATCGTACTTGGATCTAAGCGTGAATCGTGCCTCAGAATTTATTGTTCAGTGACCTTGCTGTGATGTGCGCTAGTATATGAATTTGATAAACAGAGATGGGAAACGGCAGAATTTTTGGAAAAATTTTTTATTTATAAAAAATAAACTTTTTATTACATGCAGTTATTAATTTTTATATGATTTTATATATTGAAAAAGATGTGGCTTGAAAATAGACAAGAGGCTATATTTTTAAATTTGTCTATGGTATCGACATAATATGTTCGTATTACGCTCGTATAAATAACGATGCATATTTTGTTAGCATCAAGTTAAAAAGAAAATTGAACATTTTTTTGTGCAGGCAAGCCGTGCGGTATCAAAATGCGGATACCTCTTCGTGGCTCCCGACTGGGACTTCACCATCCCTCTGTACAGAACCAAGGTAAGGAGAAACGAAAATTGTTTAGTCTAAGCAAAATTATGCCTGCACTGAATGAGTTAGATTTTGGTGATACGCAATATTTTCGGGGCAAAATGGGGTAAAGATAACCGACAAATTGTTAGTTGTCTCCCTAATTTCTCTTGAGTTTCTCGAGACCTTCAATATATGCATGGAATAAGTGTAGCCAGACTACAGAATCATGGCTCAAATGTTGAAAGAAAAGGCGTGTTTTGTAAAAGGTTTAGTAAGGAAATTTCAGCATGTTTTATGAAACCTGAGTTCTTTCTAATGGCTGTTAGATCGGATACAGAATTTACGTACATTAACGATTTTCTGCTTTAAATGTACGTATAATAAGTTAGGAAATTTTGTCTGTATATAGTGGTGGGATTGAAGAATATAGCTCAATGTTTTATTGTGTATGTAGCTAGCTAGGAATTACTTGATTATACAGTAAATTCCATGAAACTGTAAGGACGCGTCTTAGTCCCTTTCAACTCTACTCTAAGTTTTCACTAAATTTGTAAAATCTTAATTTTTTTATCTTCACGTAAAAAGTCCTGCGATGTTGCACGTTATATTTTTCGTCGCGGTCACATCGGCCATCTTCTGCTGCCAAATCCTTGCTTCGGACGCCAAATATTCTTTTCAAAACCCCTTATCGCCAATGAACTTAATAACGAGGAAAAACTTCTTGCTTTAAAACTATCGTCCCGTATCCTCATTGACTTGCCGTGGCGAGCGTCGGTTGTGTCCCGGCATTTCTTGCGAAGTTGATGGCTGGCGGACATGCATATACGTATATATATTAGAAAAATTACCGTTAACGGTATTACCGGCGTTTCAGTGGCCGGTCGGCACGTGAAAAGAAACACCGAGTTGCCGTTTTTATTCTAATTTAACACTAAAAATCCGTAAAACATGTGATAAAAACGGCGAAACAGTTTATTTTCACGTGTCGACCGGCCACTAGAACGCCGGTGGGACCGTTTTTTCATCGTTTTTTCTAACAGGACAGGTTTGCACATCCCCGACTTGTACTTTCGTCTCATTACGCCGGGCTGCTATGTTAATGAACTGGTCTGCCCGTACCGCGGTCTGGCAAGACATTTTTAGCCACGGGATTCTTTTCATGAAATAGACAAGAAGTTTCGGATTTTAATAATGATTTTCCACTGGGCGAATTGTTGTTCAGAATACAGTGTTTGTACTGTGATTGTTCGCGAATTAAGTGACGAATATCTTTCGATTGTAGTTTTGATTGAATAGATTTTTCTCGTAAATGAGTATTGCAATGAATTCGAGCACATTTTTTGAAAACTCGGCTTTACCGATAAATGCATGGTTTTAATTCCACCCTAAACCAATCACAAGACGTGTTGAACCCAATTTGATCCGAAACAATGAGTTATCAGGATAATGACCTCAATTGCACTTTCTTGTTACATGAAGATGGAAGATGCCTAATTTGAGAGTTGTTAACTCATGTTAAGTAGCCTACTAGTAAAAAGCGTCACTCAAAAAATCCATGCACGCTGCCAGACATTCGTATTTATAGTTTTTTTAGACAGCCCTGCAAAAAGAATGAAGGATGAAAGTTCCACAGATGCATGCAGCGTAGGACATCGCCTTCGTGCAGCGTCCTCGTGAATGTCTGGTGAAAGTCTCGCGTCTTTCTCCTGCCATTTTGGCCGTAGAGGCGAACTAGGGAACGACGGGGCGACCATCGCGTCTATTAATGCTTTAGGAACCTGGGGCCTATACTTTCAAAAAAAGTTAAGAGATCATAAGTTTATCAGCCAATCATTGACGGCCTTTCAAGCAAAATCCACCAATCGTAGACAAGAAAATAGAGCGTAAATACTTACGTTCACTTAGGGCCTATACTTTCAAAAATAGCTAAGTGAACGTAAGTATTTACGCTCTATTTTCTTGTCTACGATTGGTGGATTTTGCTTGAAAGGCCGTCAATGATTGGCTGATGAACTTATGACTGGCGTAGAGAGCTGAGCGTCCTTGTCGCTAAGAAACGTTAGATAGTACAATAAGCCATGGTTGAAATAGTATAAGGTTAACCCATGAGAAGCTCATTTTTGCGGATGTAGTTTGTTGTTCGCCTGTGACGTCACTGATCTCAGTGACGTCACAGGCATTACCCAATCTCAGAAATGCGATCAAACCAGTCAACCAATCCGTCATGGGAATGACGGGATTGTTTACGTTTCTCGATTCTCTGATGTACGTAACAAGAAAGCTGAACTGAAAGATGGAATTCCTCGTGGGCCAACCTTATATAATTCAACCATGCTGCAAGAAACTCTAGTATATGCACTGCCGTCTAGAACTCCCCTGTTCTGATTGTGCTAAAACTCGTTGTCGCTGTCGTCATTTTTTAGGATCGGTCGTTACTGCAGTGGGCAGAAATGTTCTTTGTAATAACTGATAGTGTTGTATTCGTCGGTTTAGTTGTCGAACTTTGAGTTGATACTCTGATGGTTTCCATTCTTGTTGCAATATTCCTCATTGTTGTTTGCTGTTTTATTTTGCTTCGTATCGGTGTTGCAGTGATTTACTTATTTGCCACGATGTCTCATAATCGTAAGGCATCATTCAGTCGTATACAGTCACGCACAAGTATACATAGTTTGTTACTTGGATATCCTGGGCTTCCCGTAAGAGTTATTATTGACACTTGCATATTTCGGTGGTTATAGGCTGTTCTCTTTGCAGCACTGTTTGAATGAACATTATGAACAAGAAGAAAGTTTCCTCACCAATAGTGACTCAATATAACTTTATTTTGGCGCTGTCATGCTAATCTAAATGTACTCTTATTTCATTGATATTTGAATTACAGACCAAACCAAAAGTTCAATCACGCGTTTGAACCTAAAAAACGGGAAAAGCTCACTCCTCCGGTACATAGAGTTAAGAAGAGAGATTTTCTGTATAGGGAAGGAAACGCCCGAATGTCTGTTGGCTTACTCAGCTCTGTGCCAACACACGTAGAGTGAATGTCGTTGAATTCCTTCAATCTTTTGGCAGTCACGGCGCACGATCTGTGTCCACGTTTGTTGTTACACCTTGCCCTTTGTTTACAAGTTTGTATTTGTGTTCCTTTTCATTATTTTTTCTAAAGTGTATGCAGAATTTTAGAGCTAAACTTTTGTTGTCGATCATATGTTTGTGGTTAATGTCGTCTATTTTTTTATCAAAATTTATTATTTTTGTAGGAATTTTATGTTCGGTAATTCAAAGTTCTCGGTTTCTTTATTTTTTTTTTCGTCAGTTTTTTAGTTCATTGTTGATCAGAAACTTTTGATAAAAATAAAAAGTTAGAAATTTATAATGGAATATCATCAATCAATCATACAGATCTCGTGTATTCGCGACTACCTCAAACATTCAGAATAAACATTGAAGTTTTTATTATTGTGTGGAGAACTTGTTCTCTTGGCTGTGGTTGCAACTTGAGACATCAGCGTCTAGTCAACGGAAGCGCGCTCTACCCAGGGCAGCGTGCGCACGAATGCTAGTTTTCAGTTGATTTTATCATTTATTCCTTCTTAAAAATTTAGGTCGCATTATCCTCACGTATCAGTCGCTATGTTACAATAAAGCTGGTTATATATGATTATATGAGCTGGAAATTGTCATTTGATTCTATCTTACGCGGAAAATACAATGAACTAAACAACAATCAATGAACATGTTGCAATTTCCACTAAAAGATGGCTGTGATGTTGACAGTAAAGGGATTATCTTTGATTTATTTATCTGTGGGACCCTTTGACTTCGGTGAAGGTGACAAACAATGTTACTGTATCATTACTAATTATCAGCCAAAGCATGTTACTGCATCATTACTAATTATCAGGCAAAACATGTTACAGTATCTTTACTAATTATCAGCCAATTAAAGCATGTTACTGCATCATTACTAATTATCAGCCAAAACATTTTACAGGATCATTATTAATTATATCAGCCAAAACATGTTACAGTATCATTACTATCAGCCAAAACATGTTACAGTATCATTACTAATTATCAGCCAAAACATGTTACAGTATCATTTTTAATTATAAATTTTCAGCCAAAAAGATGTTGCAGTATCATTTTTAATTATAAATTATCAGCCAAAAAGATGTTACAGTATCATTTTTAATTATAAATTATCAGCCAAAAAGATGTTACAGTATCATTTTTAATTATAAATTATCAGCCAAACCATGTTACAGTATCATTACTAATTATCAGCTAAAACATATTACAGGATCCTTACTAATTATCAGCTAAAACATGTTACATCATCATTACTAATTATCAACCAAAACATGTTACGGTATCATTACAAATTATCAGCCAAAACATGTTACAGTATCATTACTAATTATCAGCCAAAACATGTTACAGTATCATTACTAATTATCAGCTAGAACATCTTACGGGAATACAGGATCATTACTAATTATCAGCTAGAACATGTTACTGTATCATTACTAATTATATGTTTTGGCCTCGTCTTGATCGGCAGTAAATGCTATCCAACATTCGAGTACAGATGATCTATTGAAGCCTGCGTGGATAGCAGAAAGCCACGTTCATTGCAATGCGTTACCGTCTTGTTGTCGTAGAGTTGATTTCTTTGCTGCTGCTCTACTAAACGCTCCTAAATTGCTCAGTTGCTCTTTGATGGCGACCGAGCTTCGCTTCATTGGTTCGCTTCGCTTCTTCCTGATTTATTTAATAGAATTCATTAGATCATAAAAGTTTGAACGTGAACGTTTAGTTATGAATGATCTTTGTTTATGAGAATTTTATTACCATATGATACCAACGTGAATCACTGTGACACTTTGATGTTATATTTTGTTATAAATTACTCTTAATTGAAAATGTTAAAAATGATCATAATTCCGAAAAATATTCTGACAAATGGTGTTACATTTTTACATTCAAGATTAATTTAAATATTGATACTAATGGCTTATGTCAGT